TTCCCACTTTTTCAGAGTATAAGTCAGAGGCGCTGCTGCCAACATTTATATGTATTATGCCTTCTGCGACCAAATAGACTTCGAATCGAAATGTTCTATCTTCGGGGACGAAGAAAGGTATTTCACATTTCGCGAGACTGATTTCATTTGGAAAAAAGTCGATCGAGTCGAATTAATTGCTCCAACAGTAACAATCCGACGACCATCCGTTGGGAAAGAACACTGAACCCCTCCCACAGTACTGTCTGTGATGAAAGTGTGGAGAAGCTGTAGCTCATATAGACGTCGTAGCAATAGCAATGCTTCAAAAGCTATCCACAGGAACAATCCGACGACCATCCGTTGGGGAAGAACACAGAACCCCGATGCTCCCACAGTACTGACTGTGTTGAAAGAGTGGAGAAGCAGTAGCTCATCTATAGACGTCTTAGCAATAGCAATGCTTCAAAAGCTATCGACGTTATACTATAAATAACATTACATAATGTATTTGCACATGATTCCCTGTTGCATACTTCGTAACTTGCAGCCATCTCTGCTCACACAGATGTCACTCGCACTACCGCCTGTTTGGTAGGCAAGGAAAAGGCCAGATACTCGTACGTCCATCCAAATCGCTTGCAACACTCTCTCCACGCTCGAAACTCGTCTTGCCGCCAGGTTGGATGACAAATGTATTCGTCAAAGACAATGATAGTGCCTACCCCAATTCGACCGTGAAAGGATTCCAAAATGTCCAAGGTGCTTGTATAGAGATCACAATCAATATTGGCATAGGCCAAAAAGGCGTCGTCGCCCAACTCGTTCAAGAAGGGTGATATCGTGTCACTGAACAGTCCCTTGTGAAAGTAAACTTCTCCTTCCATATTGGGAACGATTCCTCCCGTTGAGTAAGCACCAGCGGGTTCCGATCCCCATGCTTGAGGTAACCCAGTAAACGTGTCAAAGCCATGAATTTCAATGTCCAGTGGAAGTATTTCCTGGGTCATACGCAGCGATCGACCACTACCAACGCCAAATTCACACACCAGTCCCTGGAATTTGCTTTCGCGTTGCCGTTCAATCAAGGGCATGGCTGCATCCAAGGCCAACTTCAACATGTCGCGGGTGCCAAGATGTAAATTCAAAACTTCGGGCGGAACTTTGCGCATATGCCATCGCACGTAGCCCCATGAATCGACCAAGCAGGACGCGGGAGCTTCAGATCGTTGCATGGATTCCAAGATGGGTTCGGATTCTTCTTTTTGTCCCAATCTTTCGAGAGCGACAGCCAAGTAAAAGAAAATGGAAGCTTTCTGACTCCGTTCCAGCGCTTGTCGATATGCTGCTACTGCTTGTTGCAAATGTTCCAAATCGTTACCATTTCCACCAGCAGCTTCCACGGCGGTGCCGATTCCCTTGAAGGAGACAGCTGATGGGTTGGGATCGATTTCCGAGGCCATTGTATAGAGTCTAATCGCAGCAGCAGGATCGCTCAAGGCGTCCACATTTAGGAATCCCAATCGCACCAGGGTATAGGCTAGAACAGCCCGACAATCATCTTCGGTTAGACTGGTGACGTGCCCAAAATTTTCTGGAAGGTCCAAGTAACACTGATACAAGGTTGCCGCTTGATGGAAATCTCCCGACGCCAGTCTTGGTTGTCCGGACTTGTCCAGTTGAATGCCGCGGCGAAAGGCCCGGTCGGCTTCGCCAATCACGGAATTCCATGTGATGGGTTCTTCAATGAGTTGTGCAAACGTGGAATGAAGCGATGTGGAGGTCGATGAATGACGGTTGCAATTGGTGGATTGGGTCACAAAGGCAGTAACGGTGGAAGTTGCTAGTACAAAAACAAGCACTACGGAAATCGGTGATACTATTATGTAGGAGGCTTTCATCTTTCTCCTCGAGACTTTTAATTGGATCGAACTATACAGGAGGCGATATTGATATAGAGTATATGCCGATCTACAATCTCCTCGGGTTCACTGCTGCCACAGTTCCTTCTGTGGATTGAGGATGGTTGGAGTTTTCTGTACGACAGATTCAAGATCGGTTGTCAAAATGATGTGTGATGAGCGACGATGATGATGATGATCGGATGGCGACGAAAGGACCAAACAACGATCTTTTGTATCATACATACGTACTACCGGTACGAGTACGGTACTACCGGTAGTACTACTACCATCGTCTTCGTACGTCATTCAGTCGATTTAGTCAACCAAGGTCTGTCCTCGCTCGCCTGCACATCGATTTGGCAGTTGTCTCAAGGAAACTTTCACACACAAGCACACAAGCGTCACTTCTCTCTCGAAGGGCAACTCAATCTTCTATAGCTTCGGTTGTCGCCCAAGTTACTTCAACGGTAAGTTGAACTAACAGCAAAGGGATCACTCATGGTCCTTTAGATCGGGCTTTTTCTACTTGCATGGATGCGGCAGCAGAGATGCAATAACTGTAAACTGTAAATAATGATGTTGTTTTGATGCCGCCGTTTTGCGTTGACGAGCTTGTTGTGACCTGGTAATTGATGACAAATCCATCTTTTTTTTACATTATTGGCTAATCTTTCTGTTTTTTGGGGGGGCATTTTCAGAGACGTACAGCTGCTTTCGCTTGGTCTTGGTGACAACATCAACAACAACTATCTATTGACTGATTTTGCAAAAATCCGAACTTTGCCGCCAGTTAAAATTCGTCTACTGCACCAAAAAATTATGCACTCGACACTTCCAACTCTGGCAAGAGGCAAGGGGAAGACCATCGCTATTAAACTGTTGAGTTCCGCGGGTACGGGATTCTTTTACACTACTCGAAAAAATGTCACCAATACACAACACAAGATAGCACTGGTCAAGTTTGATCCGATTGTTCGGCAACGTGTGTTATTCAAGGAACATAAAATCAAGTAGTAGTGTATGGTGTATTGATTTTATACATTGGGGACCGATCTGGCTTCATTTTTGACGTGTGTGTGTGTGTGTGTGTGTGTGTGTGTGTGTGTGTGTGTGTGTGTGTGTGTGTGTGTGTGTGTGTGTGTGTGTGTGTGTGTGTGTGTGTGTTTAGACCCTTGTTTTCGCGCGACCTAGTTTTTGATGTGCGCGTAGAATATCAGTACCGTGTTCATTCAAGGTATGTTCGGGATCATGATGCGGTTTTTGAGAAACGGGGAATCAACAAATCCCCCCCAGAAAATATGGGCGCTTTCGAAAGCGCCCATAAAAAATATGGGCGCTTTGGAAAGCGCCTATAAAAAATATGGGCGCTTTGGAAAGCGCCCATAAAAAATATGGGCGCTTTGGAAAGCGCCCATAAATTCCTTGGTAGCGTCGTAGACGAGCAGCAATACGAAAGTTCCATCAAATCGACAAGTAGCAAAGAGCAACAGTACGGTTGTTCTATCCTCCTCTTGTCGAAGCCACATTTCACCATGAGAAAAAGTGTAAACTAAGACCCGGTGTTGGCTGTAAAGCCACTATCCTCACTAAGTTCATCCACACGAAGCAAAATAACATTGATGCCTCACATCGGTCCACCGTTGTGCTGCTGTCAAATGAAAAGAAAACTGTAAGCCGGAAAAGTCAAGACTGCTGCACTTTTCGTTTGATGATGGCAACAACAGCCACATTTTCTATGCTGTGAAGACTCATTTCAAAATCGTTGAAGAGGGCAGAAATGACGTTTTTTTATTCGGTATCAGCTGGAGAGATCCGTGTTGAGTGTTGAAGCACAGTCAAAAAATTCAAAGAGCTGAAGATGAAGTGGCGAAAAAGCAAAGCCAAACAAATCCTCTACAACTCTCTTTTGGAGGGAATCATTCCAGTTGATGACAAGAATTTTCCAGCAGATGTCATTGGAAGATGTTTACTCTATTGATCCAGAGCTCGCATTGTACGATTATAGTATATTGAAGAATCGTTTGATTAGGCTTCGAAACAAGATTCTTGAATTGGATCGACGAGCAGACGATGATCTCATTGCTTTCAACAATTACAAAATGAATTACAAACCATCACTTTTCTCTCACAAGGGCTTTATCCAATGGCAAGGTTCCTCTGCACAGGAGCATCTTTTGGATGACTTGGAAGTTTACGTCAAAGATCCGAGCACGAAGCCCATGGAGGTGTGGAAATCTCGACCAGAATACATGAATGAATTTCTTCTGGACGGTTTTCGAGATGTCGTCAATCCGTCTCTCGTCAACGATGAAAACGAGTTCCCTGGATTGTCCTTGACGATAAGTGAAACCCATCCAAACGCTAGTGGACGCAGTTTGGAACATTTCGTCTGTTGGAAGATCGGTCGCTCCGATATTCGTATCCAAGAAAGGACCGGTGCAGCAGATGCGGAAAAACCAACTCGGCTTTCAGTTTGGATTCGCTGGCAACGAACCCTCAGAAGGGGGTGGTGCGGCTAGGGATATGTCTTGAAAGCAAAGGGAAAAAAGTAATTACGATGTAATCGAATTGTTGCAAAGGGCACATTTCGTTGCTGGGATGTCTGATATCGAGACTAAAAACTTAAAAATTTATACAAATGAAATAGGGAAAAGTTTCATTACCATCTAGTCATCACAAGAATAGTTTTCTGACAGTTGCCACAACTCTACCCTCATGATCTCATTATTATCGCAATCGATGCCTTCTTTGTTCGAATGATTGGATATAGTCCCACTTCATCATAGTCGATTTCTAGGGGCACTATGTATTTGGCTTTACCTTTTGATTGAATCAAGCAAGAACGGCAGCAAGTGCGAGCGATATCATCGTCCATGTCAAACGGAGTCTCATGAAAAAACAAAAATATTATTTTGCTTCGTGTGGATGAACTTAGTGAGGATAGTGGCTTTACAGCCAACACCGGGCCTCAGTTTACACTTTCCCAAGGTGAAAAGTGACTTCGACAAGAGGAGGATAGAACAACCGTACTGTTGCTCTTTGCTACTTGTCGATTTGATGGAACTTTCGTATTGCTGCTCGTCTACGACGCTACCAAGGAATTTATGGGCGCTTTCGTTTTATGGGCGCTTTCGAAAGCGCCCATATTTTTTATGGGCGCTTTCGAAAGCGCCCATATTTTTTATAGGCGCTTTCCAAAGCGCCCATATTTTTTATGGGCGCTTTCCAAAGCGCCCATATTTTCTGGGGGGGATTTGTTGATTCCCCGTTTCTCAAAAACCGCATCATGATCCCGAACATACCTTGAATGAATACGGTACTGATATTCTACGCGCACATCAAAAACTAGGTCGCGCGAAAACAAGGGTCCGGGCTTTTTCTACTTGCATGGATGCGGCAGCAGAGATGCAATAACTGTAAACTGTAAATAATGATGTTGTTTTGATGCCGCCGTTTTGCGTTGACGAGCTTGTTGTGACCTGGTAATTGATGACAAATCCATCTTTTTTTTACATTATTGGCTAATCTTTCTGTTTTTTGGGGGGGCATTTTCAGAGACGTACAGCTGCTTTCGCTTGGTCTTGGTGACAACATCAACAACAACTATCTATTGACTGATTTTGCAAAAATCCGAACTTTGCCGCCAGTTAAAATTCGTCTACTGCACCAAAAAATTATGCACTCGACACTTCCAACTCTGGCAAGAGGCAAGGGGAAGACCATCGCTATTAAACTGTTGAGTTCCGCGGGTACGGGATTCTTTTACACTACTCGAAAAAATGTCACCAATACACAACACAAGATAGCACTGGTCAAGTTTGATCCGATTGTTCGGCAACGTGTGTTATTCAAGGAACATAAAATCAAGTAGTAGTGTATGGTATTGATTTTATACATTGGGGACCGATCTGGCTTCATTTTTGACGTGTGTGTGTGTGTGTGTGTGTGTGTGTGTGTGTGTGTGTGTGTGTGTGTGTGTGTGTGTGTGTGTGTGTGTGTGTGTGTGTGTGTGTGTGTGTGTGTGTGTGTGTGTGTGTGTGTGTGTGTGTGTGTGTGTGTGTTTAGGTCTACAGGATGTTGTCGTTGAACAGTTTCTGTTGGAGGAACCTTAGATGCAACAGATTACGTAAAAGAAATCGTCATCTTCAACGAGTTTCAGGAGAGACCTTCATACGTATGTACTTTTTCCTTGTATTACCTTTGACCATGAAATTTCAACCCCAAATCCTGCCAAGGTTCAGTCAGCCACCTGGCTCTCTACTAGATAGGTCGTGGCTGGAAATGTTGGTCAGCATCGAAAGTTGGTCCTGCTGAGGAATTGTGAATATGTAGCACCACGTTGCAAGGATTGTACCAGGACAGTATTTCACCAGCATTGCAGTGAAAGTATTACGACGTATGCTGACACAGTGTTGCATAGAATGCTACTACCGTACCTACCGTATTCCGAGTACAGGTAGCTACGAAGTGAAGAAGAAGCAAATACCGTGACATCTATCTACAGAGTCGTACGGGTCGAAGAGACTTTCCGGCAGTCGCCAGCATGTTTCCAAGATTAGATTTTTACTGGTTGTTGCATCATTTTCATTCATTCGTCCCGACATTCTCGTTCTTGCTTCGAAATGCGGGAGCTTTTGAAAACGCCCACATCGCATCAACAATAATCTTCGATACCACTCTCTTCTTAAGCTGAGCCATTTCTTATTACCTAGCTAGCGACCAACAAGATACAGCACTACACATTTTCTCTTCACCTTAAGGACAGAAAATCCAAAAGAAAAAGTTTTTCAATCTACGGTTGGAATATACTACCATTGTCGCATGCACCCAATCACCTGAACAACAATTGTTGGAACAGCGAGCAGCAACACCATCCACAACAATAAGGTTCGTCCAAGCAGTCATTTCCTAAGACCACGAACATAAACCGATCGATCCACAAAGGACATACACGCATGTTACATCCGGTTTTCTGGTACTTATCGCATCCTATCCTACTCCAATACATCGAAACGGCATTGAAGAGGGTCATTTTTCAATTGGGTCGTAGTAACAATGTCCTTTGATGAAGATGGTTCTTCCAGCCCCACCTTTGCGGCTACAATCATCAGTCATGCTCCTACCATATCTCCCTCGGTCAATGTTAGCACCGCTGTCATCAACATTACAGAATCCTTCATTGAAGCGGAAAAGAAAGAGGAAGAACATGAGTTTGATGCTGCGGCCGCCTTCACTTTGAATTTGACCATCATCTGTTGCCTTTTGCTAGCCTATGCCGTCAAGAGATTCCGCATATACTCACTGCCAGAATCGGCGGGTGCTCTGCTGGTGGGAGTCCTCATTGGAGGTATGGCTCGCTTGACAACGGATCGGTTGGAACTCTTTGAGTTCTCTCCCGAGGTATTTTTCTTCTTTCTACTTCCGCCAATCATTTTTGAAGCCGGATACAGTCTCGATCGCAAGGGATTTTTTGAAAATATTGGAGCCATCACCTTGTATGCCATGTTTGGAACCATGATCAGTACCTTTGCGGTGGGATTCATTTGCTTTTACGCCGCGAAAATCGGATTGGTTTCCAATATTGACGATGAGAGTCCCATGGAGGCATTGTTGTTTGGCAGTTTGATAAGTGCCGTCGATCCGGTGGCGACCTTGTCGATTATGGGAAATGAAGAACTTAATGTTGACCCGTTGTTGTATTCCTTGGTAAGTACTTCATGGTGACCTCGCCAATGTGTTTGACACGACGTCCCGACTATTGACGTTTGCCGTTATGCTGCATTAGGTGTTTGGGGAATCGGTCTTGAACGACGCTATTGCAATTTGTCTATTCAAGACGTTCTTTCAATTTTACAATCCCGAAGCGCCTACTTCGGACGTATCCATCGTGGCCATCATTCTCAACTTCGTTACAGTGTCGGGATTGAGTATTCTGGTGGGAGTTGGTCTGGGGATGGGTGCCAGCTACTTGTATCGACACACGGACCTCAAACGGTACCCCAATCTCGAAACAAGTTTGCTGCTATGTTTTTGCTATTTATGCTATGCCACAGCCGAGACGGTACAATTGAGTGGCATCATGGCCTTGTTTTTCCAAGGGTTGGTCCTGAGCCATTACAATGCCTACAATCTAAGTCCTCGTGCGCACGTGGCTAGTGAACAGATTTTTTCGACGTTTGCGACAGTGAGTTGGGGCGTGATACCACATCATTTCGTCAAGTCTATTGAACGACTCTGAAAAACTGCCGTTTCTTTTCCTCAGCTGACAGAAACAATTGTATTTGTGTACATGGGCATGGGTGTTTTTACTGGTGGATTCAAAACCTTTGACTTAGCATTCTCCATTCTTGCCTTTGTTGCTTGTTTGATTGGACGTGCCTTGAATATATTTCCATTGTCATGGCTGGCCAATCTCTGTCGCCAACGCTCCAAAATATCTGGAAAGATGCAGATGGTTCTATGGTTTGCTGGACTCCGCGGTGCGATCGCTTTTGCCTTGTCTGAGAACATGCCTGGTCCGCATAAAGACGTATATGCAACTGCAACATTGACTATTTGTATAATGACGACTGTTTTTTGTGGAGGATGCACTGAGAAAATGCTAACTGTGTTTGGAATGAGAGAGGAACCCACTCCGCAATTGGATTCGAAAGAAGACACGGAAGGCGAACAATTGAATTTGCGGTCATTGTCGTACCAACCTCCAGCACCAAGTCGCAGGGAGTCGGTATTCGGAGAACGCCAACGACGTATCCAAGAGGGTATCAAGGGTGCATGGAACAGATTCGACGATACATATTTGAAACCGATGTTTGGCGGAGATGTGCCGCCGAACGCCAATGGAAGGGTCGAGAGGCAAGGTAGCAAAGATCACGACAGCGACCACGAGTATAGCGAAAGCCAGTGGGCTGATGAGCGTTCATGGTCCAGTAATAACGGTTTTGAGATGAGTACGACTAGTAGGGTGAACGGGTCTGTTCAAAGGAACCCGAGCTCACGTCATGGTAGCGAAGACGAGGAAATGGTCTCATTGACATCGAGACAGAATCGATGATGGTAAGTTTTGACTGCCGTGTATATTGTTGACGTGAAGAGCTCGGACAAGCCAAGAGTCGTTTGGCCATAATTCATGCGATGCCTCTCGCAATTACTACATGGTTCTTTGCTTTGTCCATCAGACGATTAAAACCATGACCGATAAAGACGAGACTAGCCTCGAGAGGCTGATAGGGGTGCTCACCTGGCAACAAGATTGGCGATTGCGGTCTTCATCCCAGTTGCGCTTGACAACCGAATAATCTTCTTTTCTTTACGAAGTCTGAATGTGTCGCAGACGATGGTAGTACTTGAATTTTAAAAGGATAAAAAGCTGTGAGACAGAACCTGCTACAATTGCAAGGACCAAGTGAGCTTGAGTATCGAATTTGAGCAGAAGTTTTAACTACTCTAGCTAGTAGTAGCCATTTTCATCTCGATTAGTTCTTCTCTTTAGCGTTCGTCAGGTTAGTTCGCTATTTTTCCGGCCAAATCGCAATGGCAGGTGCTGTTCAGTGTCGGAATTGAGGAAAGGTGCGTTGCAACACACTACCGGTACATAATTAACGACAAAGATATGAGCTGATGAGAGAAACCGCTCGACCTAAGATGACCGTCAACCACAAGACAAACGCCCCATACTATCGTCACCCTTCTAGAAAGGCGTGATTTCAACTCCAAGGTCTGCAGGTTCAATACAACTAAAACATCTGCTGTAGTAATGGGCGTTTTTTTTTCTCTATCTAAATTAGTTCAGCTATAGACCTTCCGGCATGACTGTACCATTTGGCGAGTTGGCCTCTTCCTCTTCTTTTGCCAATGCTTCTTCATACGCTCTCTGTAGATCCAACGTCCAAACAAAGTTGGCATCTGGCTCTTCGCCGGGTTGGCAAAACCGGCCTCGGCGGTAACACCAGACTCTGGTGTCGTTGAACGCCCGACCGCCACTCGGTTCATTGGGAACAGCAAAGCGACGACCAGTTCGAACATCGGTTAGCAAGAATGTTCGTACAGGCTGTGGCGCAGGAAGAGCAGCGGGAACCTGTGTTTCTTCTATCATGCTGGAGCTTGATCCAATCTCTTGGATGATTTGTTTGGAATCATCGGATGGTAACGTTAGAGCATGCAGGAACTTATCTCCAAACCCAGGTAGCGAGTCCAACCCGCAGCAGTTGCTGGCTAAAGAAGCTACATCGGTCATG